CCCTGAAGGGGTTTGGGGGGTAGAAATTTCCTCTATTTCAGAAGATCGGCCTTTAGAGCCAGCGAGTCCATCAACTCGAGGACCTTGGGCTTTTGGAGATGGGGTAGAATTTAGGGCTTAGGGCCTTGAATATAAGTTTGGTGGTTTAGGACCTTAAATCTGGGGTGGAGGTTGGGGCCTTAGGATTCAGGGCTTAAGTTTTAGGGTTTGGGGCTTGGAATTATTGGGGTTTTATGCAATGGGTGGGGTTTAGACTTTGGGGCTTGCGGTGTAGGGCTTAGGAGCTCCTGTAAGTTTAGGAGCTCAGGTTTACAGGATGTCTACCACTCCTCTCAAGCAGATTGAACAGACCCTAGCTTCCACAACTCATGGTATGGTAATTGGATTAGGCTGTTGCCGAAACTGACATATCTTCTGCTCAGTCATTGTGGGGAGGAATCCTATGTCTGTGGTCTTTTGGGGAATGCATCGTGCTAGTTGCTGTTGCATACCACAGTTCTCAATTTAGGGCCTCCGCCCCCAAAAAAAGCTTCTTCAAAACCTGCAAACCCTTGCACTAGCTATAACGGTACAGTACTCGAAATTGATCATGTGTACGCTGAGAGCCAGAGCCACCTCGCGGGGAACCTTGCCGGGGCGTGGAGCCACAAGGGCTAAAAGAATAAGAGTGCGGGCTACGGGTCTAGGAGACTAGATTTGTAGCAGGAGTACTATTCCATTCATGAAAGTACTTGTTGCAGGCCTCTACACTAGCGCCACAAGGGACCCGGGGTTATCTGGGGTTTGGAGCTAAAACATGAAGTCTCACCCCCAGCCTGATAGTGCTGGATAAGCTGTACTCATCGCAATAGACACCTAATTTGTTGCAGAGCCTGTCTTGAAATCCGTAGATCCCCAATGCCCCCGTTGCAATCTGCTTTAACTATCATGGACGAGCACGGAGCTGCGTATGGCTGTAAATGTTGACCGACCCCCAGAATCATGCTTGCAATATCGCGAAAGAATTTTGAAAGGACCGCCAGTCTTTCAATATTATGGATTCGCAGCTGCCCCGAAAGCCAACGATGGCCTCTGACCGAAGCCTCTCAACTCCAGCTGTGACCTCAAAGACCTGCCATCTGCTCAGCTCGAAGAACTTTATGGTGCAGGGTACTTTGGTGCATGGGAAACTGAGTTCTGGTTCTCAGGGGTACAGGATGACAAACACGCTTTCTGCTCATTTGCTAGTACTTTGACCCAGCCCCAGTGCAATCAGGTCCTTCTCATAGGGATCTCCGCGATGTACAAGTGATGTAGAGACAGTTGCAAAATCTCTTATGCAACAACAGTCATGCAAGGTCAATAAATGGAAGCTTGCCTAAATCACTGTTCACACAATAGGAGAAGCTAACTTTGAATTTGACAATGCACCCTCCTGTTCGTACAAACCCAAATAGGGACACAGCCATATCCCCAAACCGGAGCTAAGCCTCATGCCCTTGCTACAAGTTCTCTGGATTCTTGGTAAAAATTGCAACTTCAGCTGTTTCTGAGGATTACGACTAAATGGAAATTGAGCACCATGTGAGCTATAGTCTAAACTCCTTGTACCCCCTGAATAACCCCTACAGCAGTTCCCTATATAACCCCTTTTGCGGAGATGTTCCGAGCGGAACTTTCAGATTCGCCCTTCCGAACTCGCAAGTAGCTTCGCCTCGCCTCAGCTGCCAACTCCATCCCAGTAGAGAACGCCTCCACCCACCTCGGGTGCTCATTTTGGGTCATGAGGTTCAGGCTCAACGTGCAAGATTTGGGATTGACGATTTGAAGGGATTCTAATCCTGCTTGGTGTCCTTGGGGTGCTAAGGATTATGTGTGGATTTCAGGAGTTCCTATTGGAGAGTATGCGGATGTAAATGTCTCGCACATCATGACATAGAACAAGCCAGCTGGACAAACAAGGACCAACGAGACTTAGCCGATGCAAATAGATTCATGCATACCCAGCCCCCCAGCTCCTCAGCCTTCCCCAACACCCTGAACTGCCTTCAAACCCATTGCTTTCGCAGCTTGGCGGCAGTGGCGTGTTCTCGCCACACTCCTTGGCGCGCCTCGTTTTGGCTCTTCATAGCGGGCATGCCCTTCCCCAAACCACATGGAAATTCATGGTTTCCCTCTTACCTTTCCGTGAAGGCCCCTGTGGAGAAGCATTTATTTTGAAGATGGAGGTGTCTCTGACATGCCCGGAAGTAAATCACCTCCAGATTGCAGGCGTAATCTCCATCATCTATACTAGTCCAGCTCATGTAACAATGTAGCAGGTCCGCAAGTATACACGGGGAAACTCATGCCGCACAAGCTTTTGCAAATACTAGGGGCAGAATTTACGACACTAAAGGGACAAACTTCGAGCCTGAACGTTGCGCTGAGACCTGAAATCCTGAAAGCCTAGCCCGACAAACCCCATGAACCGTGAGCCCTTAACACTACTATTGTTATTACTATTACTATTACCTACTACTACTGCTATTGCTATTTCCTATAACTATTCCTATTACTATTACGCTTAGTTACTATTACTCTGCGTGCCTGTCAATCTCCGTCTTCTGGAGGAGATTCCGCTTCTGCCAGGCCTGGCTGGCGCCAAGGTTATTGTGAACTCGAAGAAAAGCTTCAAGTTCAAGGTGTTAGAGTCTCTTGCAGGTTCTTAGGAGGCAATGGTTTAGGGTTTAGGGTTGAGGAGTTCGGGTTAAGGATTTAGGATTCAGAGCCTAGGCTTTGGGAGGCGGTCAATGCTCCTCATGACTTGAATTCTTGTTGATATGTGGGGGCCCATATCGAATGACAAGAGGAGCAACTTTGCGAAATTATGCATCTCTTTGCATTCCCCGAATCAGCTAAAGAGCACTGTCTAGCTCCGGCGGGGTTATTTAATGATCCACTCAGGGTTGACATCAGGCTCTTCCTTGGGAGAATGTTTGTAGACTTCCCTGGCATGCTTCATGTATGGCAGTCTATGGCATGTCCGTGATTCGGGAAGAAAGTACTGGGTTTATTGGACGATTTAAGAGCGGATTCTTTCGGTTCACAGGGATTCCGATGTGCCGGGTCAGGCATCCAAGCGTCAAGTTCTACATGGTGGCTAGGGACAGCCTGGCTCCCTAGAGCTTGAAGAGGAGATCGGCACCCCCGCCATGAAGCCCTAAAGTCCCAAAACCTTGCAACCACGCAGCTTTGAAACCTCCAACTAACACCGTTTCAGACCCTCAGCCCTAAACTGCCCGAAGGCCCAAGCAACTACCCTAAAGCATCCTACTGAAGGACACCTGCCTCGCTAACATACTCCTGGTACCAGGCGTCGATGCCGCTCTGCTCCTAGCTTCTGGGAACACTGCACTGACAAATCCCGCAACTGGTAGTGATTGAGTCCTCGTGGCCCCAAAATCATCACGTTGTCCCAATGCAGAATAATAGAAAGCCCAGAGGAAGGGGCAAGGACTGCAAGGACATCATGCCAGGAAATACACTCAGGCTCTGTCCAAATGATAAAGTTTCAGTGCTACAGGATCCAGAAACTCCTGCGGAAGGAACCTACAGCTGAGGCAGACTACGCAAGAGCTTTGCCTTCTTGGAGAGGAGCTGTTGGTAAATCAGCTCGGACACCTGACGCGCTGGGAGATCTCGCGGGACGTCCGCACAGATCTGAAGGTGGCTTTACGAGGGCGATAGAGGAAGATCACATCAAACCTGTGCACGCCCCTACAAAATTGGTTGTGGAGCTGTACGCGGAGTCTTTGCCCTGAGATGTAGCATGTCTGCTGGTGGAATAATGTTAATTTGAATGTTCATATTAATGAAATCTGATATTATTATCATATTTGGCCTACGTGCAACTCTGCTATTTTGCTTGGTTGGCCAAACGCGCAACACGCTCCCCAGCTTGATCGCCGGGGATGCTAAAGCTTGAGGAGCGCCCCTGTGGACGCTTCTCCATACCTAAACTGCAAAAGCGTGATCTCTTCTTCGGTAGTTTCAGCAAATCAGGAATCCTCCTTGATATGAGCTATAGTCTAGACTCCTAGTATCTCCCTTAACAACACCCATACTACTCACCTATATAGCGTGTCGACTATAGCTCAGATGGCCTACATTCTAAATCACATGAAGTCTTGCGAAGAGGAGCTCTGATGAAACTGCCCTTAGGAGACCTGGCCTGCCATTCTTGGGTGGTAGCCCAGCAGGTGCTTTAGCTGGAAGGAGGGAGTGGCTGTGATCATCCCTTTATGGCTCTATAGTTGGTTAGTAAGGGGGATACTAGGAGTTTAGACCATAGCTCACATCTACCCCCATTCACTCCCCCGTCTACCTAAAGCACCAGCGAGTAGCAGAGTGGATAGATGCAAATCATCCGTACCGGGTGGAGGCGCCACCAAACCAGTTTTCGGCCCTCGGCTGAAACCATCTCAGAGAATCTTACCAGAAGTCTTTGGGTAATATAATATTGGGGTTATACTGGGATACTGGTAAAGAAAATCGAAACTACCATTGAGGGTTTAGGGTTTAGGACACGTCTCCAAGAACAAGCTTCTCAAGAAAGGGGGGTGATGATTACATACAGGGGCATGCAAGCAACTGAAACAAATATTTACCGTACCCCCCGGTGAAGAGGGTGAAGTTGACGCGCACTCTAATGGATCCAAACACAGAAGGCCCCAGACTATGCCGAGGAAACTGGAAAAGAAAGGAGCATTATGATTTTTAGGGGTCTCCACGTTTTCGATCCTCTCAGGGTTCTACGTCTAGGTCTAAAATGGCAAGGCACAAATCGCTGGCTCGAATCGTGAGACTTTGAGTGGTGGTGTACTCCTCTCAAGGGCTTCAGGCTTCAGCATCTACAGAGCTTTTTGGCGTTATTGAAGCCATTAACAGAAGCAACAGGTCTAGGGGTACACTCTGCTGCAGTTGCATAAGGGTCACCTCAATTTAAAGCCACAATGCTTTCAATTATTCGGATTTCTGCATTACACATTAGGGAATGTGCCCTGCACAATGAAAGTTACACATGTGATGTCCCTAAGCCCACCCTCAATCCCAAAATCCCAAAGCTCCTCAAAGGCTTCTGGCCCGTTCTCGCGACCTTGGCTTTCATCTGTAGACATGCTGGAAGCCCCAACAGAAATTCAAGAGACCCAACCCCGCACAATGTTCAGAGACGTCTGGGATTCTAGCATGTAGCACAACCAATTGTCCTAATTATTGCTCTTCCCATTCCTGCACTGCTTCAACAAACTCATCCAACAAACGCATGTCCTGCTCTCTGCCACACTCCTGAATGCTGTCCAAGATCCAATGCCGCTTTGGCCGAAACCGCCCCAGGGGCTGGCGGGGTCGTTGCGGTGGTGGCAATTCCTTAGTTACTCCATTGATGATGCTTTTGCGGTTCATGGGCGGGAGATTTGATTTAACAAAGTAGAGCAAACCAGCACCTCTTACAACCTAGCTTCACCCAGGTGAGTCCACAGCGCAGCTTGCGAGCCACGCGCAGGGATTTCCGCACATCCTCCGTCCACATGGCACCGCCCAAGCCATATTGCGAGGCGTTGGCCAACTCTACAGCTTCGTCTTCCGTCTCGAATCTGGACCTACAGCTCCCTGAAGGTCATGTAGAAAATGCTATATTCCCAGAAGTTTCTGTAAAGACTAGCTTCTTGAAGTATGCTTGGGAGATTCGAGCGGCAAAGACACCACCGGACCAAAGATCTCTTCAGCAAAGGCCGGGTTTGCGGGGCTCACGTTCGCAAGCACCGTGGGCTCGTAGAAATGCCCAGGAAGTGAACATCGATGAGCCTGGGGCCTCGAGCCACCAGTCCTGGGCTTATAGGTTTTGGGTTTTTGTAAGGTTTTTTTGTTGCACACCCTTTTCATAAGCATACAGTCAGATGAAGGCCGAAGCCGAGCGGGTCATAGGCCCAAGCTGCCAGTACCACAAACGTACATCCATGGTAACAGCTCCGAAATTGCAGAAAACCACATCATTCAATCACACTACAGTCCCCTGTAACTCAAAGGAATCACTCCATGAAGCAACCCTCATAAGTCAGGTAAGGGTTTGGGGTTTAGGGTTTGGGGTTTAGCACCCCCCACTAATAGTGATTGCAAAGTTTGTAAAGGCAAGTCCTTCCATTAGGGTCCCATTCTTCTAGGTCCCTCGACTCCTATTTTATCATGATGGTCATTTACGTCTAGGATGGAGCCGGTTGAGAACACGCTAGGCAACCAGAGGGGCGCAATATTGAAGCAAATCGACATGTGACGGCATTTCAGGACGCTAGCTTCGCAACTTCGGTATTCTGCCTGAGGATGACTCAGGGTCGGGGCGATTCCAGACCCCAAATCGCTGAGACCCCTCACGTCAAGAGCGACTCAGGCCAAGAGGCTAAGGCTGCAAACTGTATAAACCCTGAATCCCAAACCCTCAATTAATTCCTTATACCCTAAATTAACCCTAAACCCTAAATGGTAGCTTCCATTTTCTTTTCCATTCTCCCTATATAACCCCTGTACTACCCCTATACCTCTATCAAGAGTAAGAGTGATCCAGGGGTCAGGGCCATGGCGCCCGCAGCGTTGGCCCGCTGCACTTGGTCTTCGATTCGCTCCAGCTGCCTCCGCGAGATGACTGGGCCAAGATCCACCTGCATGAAGGTTTCGGGCTCAGGGGGTTTAGGGTTTAGGGTTTAGGGGGTTTAGGGTTTAGGGGGTTTAGGGTTTAGGCGGTTTAAGGGTTTCGGGCTTAGGGTGCGAATGTTAATTTCCCTGGCCCCCAAACACCATCATCCTTATTTTGTTGTAGGGACTCGCGAAAAGTGATCCCGAAGTCTTGGAAATTCCCCCGCCTCCTGATCTAAAGGATCTCCCAGCCTTGCAGCTTCAGGGGCAAAAGCACCTACAACAGCTGCTACATTTTCCGATCATGTATATCTTTCTGTATAGCATATAGATACAGCATATATAAATAATATATGTATATATACACATGAGTATATACATATATATGAATACATATGCCACACAGGTGCATGATGTTTGTTACTGACATGCCGGGAACTGAAGAGCTCATGCATAATAAGCCCATTCCGACAAAATGAGCTTTGGGAATCTCTTGCGTAAGAACCTTCACACACAGGCCCCCTAATTCCTTCCCACACCTCAGGGAGGCTGCTTTCTGGACCAGCCGGTCTCTGAATTCATCGAAGATCTGGTTCTGGACCAAGATCCGCTTGCCTTGCTCCCCCACCCTAGCATGGAAACCCCAAACTGGCCGACCTAGACTGCTGTCCCATTCAGAAAAAGGGCAACATCGGGGTTCCATGCTAGTTTGTGGAAAGGTAGGGTTTAGGACCTAGTGTTTAGGGCTGCAGGACTGCCAGGAAAGCCATTATCAACTGAAGTTGCTCTCCTTGCTGTTTGTACCTCCAAGCAAACCCAGAGGATAGAAATCCCAAGGGTCCCAAACAGAGCCGCTGAGCTGCCACTGACGCAAGTCTGCCCAGAAGCCACAAAAGCAGCAAAAGCAACCCCGTCCACGGCCTCTTGCACGCTTCGCGTGTCTGCGAAGACCTGCTGGCTTCCAGGTATCCAAGGCCCCCCCAAAAACGACGGCAGATTCTATCCTAGGTCACTAACACCTTGAGGAAGCAACCCCAGAATGAAGCCTACACTACAACACACCCAGAACATTGCACATATGCCCAAACCTGAGATCCAACCGCCCCACAGACAAAATCAAACCCTGAAAGTCATTACTTTCAAGTGACACACTGTCTTGTTGCTCCTATACAGCATTTCAATTTCTGTTGCCCAGCTGCCAACCCGAAGCCATAACCAATCCCTGGGCCGTTCAGCTAAACCCTGAATCCTAAACAATCAGATTCGAAAGCCTAAAACACCAAACTCCATACCCCGAAGTCCGAAACCTAGACTGACCAAGTTTTAAGAAGCCCCCAGGCCAGAATCGGGGCGTTCCCGCCCAGTTCCGCGCAGTAGGCGCGGACGCGGCCAGATTCTGCCATGGTTTTCTGGATCTGCAGCCTGAGACAGATACTGTTAGTGTTAGTAATGGATGAAGCTTTAGGATTTGGGGATTTTGGGATTATGATGTCTAGGGCGTGGGGGTTTACGGTTTAGATGCTGCGCATTATCACGGACTGTTCCTCCCTCCAGGCAATCCGCCAGAAGCGGCACGGAGAGGGAGGTTTAAGGTTCAGGACTTAGGGTTAAGGGCTTGCGGCTGGGGATGGTCTAGGGACTAGGTTTTGGGCTTGGGGATTTGGTGTGTAAGGTGAATCCTGGACACAACAGACATGGCAATGATCTGCAACCAGCCACCACTTCTGGTTGACATGGCTGTGAGTCTTTGTGCTGTCAGTGCTGTTACTATTGCATTTCATAGTCCACGATGCTGTAAAAATAGCCATGTAACAACAATACTTGGAGCAAAACATACTGAGGAGGAAAACAAATGTCGCCTACTCTGCTCGGAACCCATAGCCCTGCTACTGTATTTCAAGTATTGCTGCTGCTACTACACCACGACCGTGCGGAGGACTCCATAGCTGCCATAGCTGTTCCTATCGCTTCTGCAGCTACTCAACATGAAACACGAAAGGCGGACGAGTGGCCCCGTTGCCGTCCCACCCGTGAAGTCCACACGTTCGACCCGCTCGTCCCGCGCCAAAGCACCGCCGGCCTCAGGGCCTCAGCGGCGCGGTGGTGGGAGCGGTGGTGGGGGTGGTGGGCTGCATGGAAGCAGCAAATTTCCCAGTCTCCGTCACAACTGTGGCCCCCAAAGCAACCCGAATCCTTCTGTAGAATCCCCAAACACCCAAACCCCACAACCTCGCAGGTGGCTTGGAGAAAAAATAGGGGCCCTCTTCATATACCCCAGAATATGATTCTCCTTGTTCAGTATAAGGACCCCAAGCCCAAACACAGCCCTGCAATCCAGAACCCAGAGTTATAAAGGCCTTCGCCAGGCACCACTTGGAGGCAGCCAGGAGGAAGCCTCAGTTGAGGATTCCTCTGCGCGGGAGGGGGTCTTAGGTTTGTTGGGATTGAGGCTCATGCTGCAGGATGATGCACTGCCATAAATCAAGCCCTGGACACCCCCACACAACCAGAAAAAGCCCCAAACCCTGAAACCCTGCAGACCTTGAGTCCCCTCCACCTCCACAGTCCTTACACCCTGAATCCCTCAACCCCTAAATCTCCCAACCCCAAACTCCAACTTAAAGTAATATACCCTATTATATTATAGGAGTTTCCATTTTATCGATTTTAATTTCCATTATCCCAAAGTTACCCCAATATAACCCCTGTATATGAAGAACTGAAATAACTATATAATATGATATAATAACGAAAATATACAATAACATACTAAAATCTACAATGGTATACAATGATATACTATAGTAAATTAACAAACCCTAAACCGTAAATCCTGAA